GCACCAGCACCACCAGCAGCCATGGCGGGAACAGCTTGCATGCAGCGCTACACAACAACCACAATGCGCCCCGCTCAGCCTTTGGCAACCACGTGGTAAGAGCGAGGTCTTATTCTGTTGCATGGATGACTTGCGACCGAGCGGGCCTTCGCGCGGCGTGTACGCGATTGAGCCCCGCGCGCACACCTCTCAATCTCAACGGCGCCTCCTGACATGCAGCACGCGGATGCCCGCGGGCTGTGTACCTCACACTGCGACTGCACGTTACCGCGCGGGGCGGGCGCGGGTGGCCTGTAAGCGCTGTAGCGCGCGGATTATTGGTTTAACTGTGCGCGAATAAGGTGCGGCGCTCCTCGCCCGCCCCGCTGCAGCATCGATCGAAAGGGTGAAGGTCGCCTCTGCTGCTTCCGCTGCTGCTGGGCGCGATCGACGTTGTAGCGCGAACACTGAATCAGGCTCGCACTTCCCGTTTTCGCGGCTGACTCTTCGAGCAGAGCAACTTTAAAACAAACACGCTTCACGATCCGTGTTGCACTCACACTCCAGCAACCACACTTGGGCCATCGCGCTCAGTCATTGCCTCTCTCACCTCCATCTGAGAGCTTCTTGCGTGGCAGCGGACTTGCACATGCCTTGCCTTTGACCTCGAAAGAGGCCCTAAGCTGGGTGCGTCGCACGCTTCCACCCCCCTCGTCCGCCCGCCTCTACAGCAGCATCGGCTTTGGCTCTTCTGCGCGCAGAGTCGAACACGCAAAAGGCAGTGCTTCATTGAGCGCCATCTCGACGAATGTGGGTGATTTGCTCCCGTGTGCTGGTGCGCCCACCTAGGTAGTCATTCGTCAGGCCCGACCACTGTCAGGTCCAATCCCTCGACACCGGACGACCTTGCGCCGCGAATCTCACAAAGTATGGCGTCTGACGCTGCATCGGGGCCTTCAATGCCTTCTCGCTCCCTCCCAGAGACGGAAGCGTTGTACCGACAGTCAATCGACTCAGCCCGAGAAGCTTCGCTCAGCAGACGCTTCTCGCGCTCCTCTCGCACCTCTCAAGGCAAGACAGCTTCTCAAGAGCCCAATGCCAGACATGACGGAACTCAGAGGGTGTCAAGAGACGAGACTGTAGTGATGCGCAAGCGCGACAGCCAAATGAGCCTGGCCAACACTTCCTTGGACCCAGCTGCGGGCGCCAGCAATGAAGGGTCTGCAGCAGAGCAGGGCGGAGGAACGGCAAGTGGCGCTGCGCAAGGTGACGAGGATGCCGATACGGATGTGGACAGCGAGATTGCGCACCCCTCCTTCTTGGGCAGCTCCGTGCGCTCCAACCTCAGTGCGCGTCCAACCATCCTACCACCAGCAGCCTTTCTCACGCCCAAGAAGGGGAGCGCGAGAATGTCGCCTGCAGCCACACGAACTCCCAGTCCGTTCAACTTTCCAATTGCTCAGTCTCCTGTAGCTGGGAGATCTCCAGGACAGTCTCCTACCTCGGCTGCCACTGAGGTTGCTCGTGCTGGCGCATGGCGCGGCAGTAGCGGCTGGACGGAGGCTTCGTCCAGTCGAGCAGCGTCGCAGGGGACGGGGCACGACAGTGCCGGCCTACAACAGAGTTCACACAAAGCTCACAAGTCGACCAGAGCTCCCTCTGAGCATGCAAGTCGAGATCCCCTACTGCCCTTTTCGACCAGGCAAGCGAATGCAATGTCAGGCTACGATGCTCAGAGCTACACTGGAAAATCACCATCACCAAACATGCGTTCCACTCCAAAGAGCCGTTCATCTCGTCTCGAGATGCAGCCATCGCCTAGGCCGAGAAGCAAGAGGAGCTCGGTGCAGGAAAAGCCGGCAGAGAAGCCAAGCTCCTATCCTCGCAAGTGGAAGTTATTCCAAGGAGCAAACAAGTTCTTCTGCTTTGGACGCATCATGACAGCCGATGACAATCCTCTGCCGTTCTTTGGAGCCACTTTAGTCGTCGTTGCATTCCCAATTCTGTGGTTCATCTTTGTCGCTCCTTTCACTTGGCGACATGTAAGCCCAGCGCCTGTCATCCTGACAGCATACACCTGGCTTGTCACTCTCTCAAGCATGATGGTGACCTCCTGGAGAGATCCAGGAGTGCTGCCCAGAGACTTGGATCCAGACCCGCCTTGCACCACTAGCGATGGCGACCCCATGGATCCAGAAGATCCGCTTGCCATTCCTCTGCCTCGCATTGTGCGAGTCCCTCAGAGCACAGATCTCAAAGTCAAGTGGTGTGAAACATGCGGCACATATCGGCCACCTCGCGCTAGCCATTGCAGGACTTGCGATAACTGCGTGGAAAACATTGGTGAGACCGTTAGATTTACTGCTTGACGATCTCAGCCTGCTGACAAAGTGGCTGCTTCGCTATGACAGATCATCATTGCACGTTCTTGAACACTTGCATCGGCCGCCGCAATTACTTTAGCTTCTTTTCCTTTCTCATCGCTGGCATTACGCTCTGTTGCCTCTGCTTGATCTTCAGCGCTGTCCACCTCTACCTGCTCACGCGGCCTTTGGACGACCCACTTCCTGGAGGCGGTTTTGGCTCTGGTCTCGATTTCGCTGGAGCTCTGCGCAAGGCTCCACTCAGCGCAGTCCTCTTCCTCGTACCTATCTGGGTACTGGTCCCGCTGTGCGTCCTGTTCGGCTACCACATGCGCTTGGTCAGCATGAATCGAACCACAGTGGAGCAGATTCGCATCAACTCTCAGAAGGAGTACGGAGAGAAATCTCGCCAATCCGATGCTGTGGCATCCCATCGCTGCGTGCCTGCTCTAGGAAGACCAGGAAGGGATCCGAATCCTTTTGCGGTGCCAAACTTTTTTGCCAACGCTTTCGAAGTGCTGTGCAGACCCATTCCAGAAAGCTACATCGACCGCTCCGGTCGCGCAGTGCCTGATAATCGTAGACCAAATCCTGCTTGGCGCAGCAGCTCGATGGGCCGACAAGCCAGTGACATCGCCAACGACGGTAGTCCACGAGTATAGGCCTTCGATCGGCAGACGTGCTGTGCCCAGATTGGCTCCGCCCACACATTCATTCAACATATCAGCTTTCTGCGCACGACGAATCGTGCTTTCCTGCTTGTCGTAAACATCTCAACACTCTTTCCAAAGCCCCTCTGACATATACTCACATCTCTTGATACCACGCCAGCGATAATACATAGAAAATTTGCACTATTACGAGGCTCGTCAACTGTTGAACATTCTCGAGTGCAATACGTCGTGCCGACCTTGCAGGATCTCGCCCAGTGGCCAAGTGACAGCTGGAGCGGAGGCGCCCGTCTGGCCCGCGTCGTGAGACCCTTCATCTTCCTGTATATGCCAAGCACCTTCCTCTTCCCAGTCCCACGCCCAGCCTTGGCTCAGGTCGTCATCCCTCACAGCTTCGGACAGAGCGGTAGCATGGTTTGACACGCCATGCATGTAGGCTCTTGATGAGCCAGGAAAGGCGGGGAGAGTGCGACATTGACTCGAAGCGGTAGGATGTCCACATTCCTCTGGATCTACGTCATCGTCTAGACCCACGCTGGGATTTCCTGCGTACTTGTCGACGATAGAAGTCAGTACTGATCTGAGTTGAAAATGCAAGAGGCTGTGAGCTGCGTATGTGCCTATGACGTTCATTCGAATGGCAGCAGAGACGATTGCTCTCGCTTGCAAAAACATGTGCGTCCTGACCGAGGCATCTGCGGGACAAATACAGATGCGGCACGCGCAGTCACATCAGCTACCAGCCAGATTAGACACGCAAAGAGCGGTGCGATGGCATCTAATCACCTTTCTGTATGCCGAGTGCTGCGCAAAAGACACCCCAGCAGATTGGCAGATGGCCCTCACTTTCACCTCTTCTGATCGCACTTCGATATAGATCGAGGATCCCTTCTGCTCGTATTCGGCTCGTGGGTCTCGACTCTGCTTGCGTCGTCGCAGGATGGCCCTTGGTCAGAGCGATCGGCTTTGCAAATGCTTTCGAATGAAGGGTCAAGAGTGCGACGCCTTGTGTCGTGCTTGCTCGTCTTGCGACGTTGGACAGTAAGCCAGCCTCGAGCGATTCGTCGAGCTTTCTCAAGCCAATCATTGCAGCCGAGGCGTCATCGCAGCGAGGCCTCATCACGTCCTTGGACTTGCCTGACGCGCTCGAGAGATGCCCTGCGGCAAGTCCATGCGCGTCGCACAGGTAGGGCAATGAAGTGCTGGCGTAAGAGTCGAGCGAAGAAGCCAAGTACACTAGCAGTTGACCACTGTTAGAAAGTGGTGCATCACGGAGGCCCGAGGCGTGGCCGAAGCTAGAGACCAAAGGTCTGGAGTCCATTGTTCCAAAGGCCCTGAGGAGCCCGTGCGCAGCGAATGATTCTAGACCCGACGAAGCTACAAATCCGCCTGCCATTCACGACAGATTGGGAATGTTAGAAATTCGGGCTGTATCTGAGGGGGGGAATTGTGCTCCTTCTACGTCCTCAAAACTCACCCGTTGGCAAGTTGGAGTCCCCGAGCAGCAAGAGCAAATAGTCCATCTGACTCTGTTCGTCTGCTTCGCGATCGTTGTCTACTCGCGGGAAGTTGCTGAGATCCATCCATCCCTTCGCAGGCTCTTCGTGGGCCTGATACCTGCTATGCTCTGGAGGCGTTTGCGTCCCATCCTCTGTGTTGGTCTTCCGTCGCTTCGCCCTCACCTCGGAGGCCTCCATGATTTCAGCGCAGCGCCGTCTCTTGGCTCGATTCTACTTTCCCAGCGATGTGGCTGTCGAAAGGCAAGATGGTGGTTTTCCCGCACGCGCTGCTGTATGCGCGACCGCACTGTGCAGCGAGGAGACAGCGCCCTTCACTGGAAGCTTCACTAACCATGTGATTCAGGGATGCCGCTCGAACACCTTCCATCTTGATCAGGACAGAGCATTGAACTGACGCACGGGACGCCACTCGCTCTGCTGGCTCACGCCCGTCTCATCAGGATGCTTCAGAGTAAGGTGCGAGCTGCGCCGACTCGGCAGACTCACAAGCGCAAATCACTAGACGTGTGTTTGAGCTTC